TCCTCCGCGCAGCGCAACCGGGCGAGGGGCCGCCTGCGACTCCCCCCGCCGCCCGAGGGCTCCTTCACGGCCGAGGGGCCGCAGCTCTCCTCGCTGCGGGAGGACGAGCAGGTCTCGCTGCCCTACCCTTCTGCGGACTGGGAGAGCGAGTCGGGCAAGGAGGCGTGGGCGGCGAGAGGGAGGCGGGTCATGGTGGCCTTCTTGCTGTCGGCGCCGCTCCTGCTCACGCTGCTGCTCCCAAAGTCGATTGACGAGCAGCACAAGCTCAACCACGCGACCGTGGCGGCGGCCAACTACATTGGCGACGCCTCGTTTGCGCTGACCGGATCGCTAGCGGCGGGCATGGAGGGGATGGACCTGCTCGGATGCATCATCGTCGGCTTCATCACCGCCCTCGGCGGCGGCACGCTCCGCGAATTGTTCCTTGGCAAGACGCCCATCTTTTGGCTGCACGACGAGGCGGCCGCCTAGCACCGCCGCTCGCAGCTCCTGGCACCTCTCGCCAGCACACCCCTCCTCCCAGCTTAACCCCCTCCCCACAGGCGGCTTGCCGGAGCGAGTACTTTTTGTGCGTCGGCACGTCGACGCTCGCCTTTTTCCTCTGGCCCTCGCTCTCGCGGTGGCGCTGCCACTCGCTTCCTTCCCTGCCCTCCCCGCCCCGCCCCCGCCCCTCAGCGTCGCCTCCCGCCCCGGCCGCGCAAGGCGCCTCAAGCTCACCACCGCCGATGAATGGCTCTTTTGGACCGACACCGTCGGCTTGGGCGTCTTTGCCGCGAACGGAGCCCTCGCCGCCGCCGTGCTGACGCCGCGCATCCACGGGGTGGCGTGCGCCTGCTGCGGCATGTTCTCCGCGACATTCGGAGGGCTCACGCGCGACGTGCTGCTGGGGCGGCCTCCCAGAATCCTCTACGCCGAGGCCGACCTGTACGCGACGCCCCCCTTCATCGGCGGCCTCGCCACCGCGATGCTGGTGCGCATGGACCCGGAGCGGGAGGCCGACTCGGTGATGCTCGGCTTCTTCGTGACGGTGCTGCTGCGGGTGCTGGCGTACAACGAGCCGGTCCGGCTGCCCGTCTTCCCCGCCTCCGCCATCTACTCTGTCGATCAGCGGCAGAAGAGCCGCTTCTTTGGCGAGCCGTCCACGGCGAGGCAGGCGAGCCGCTGGCTCTCAAACGCGTCGGTGTACGACTCGACGGTCTACGACTCGATGGTCAGCTCGGTGTGCGACGCGGTGATGGCCAAGGCGGGCCAGTCGTCGCGCGCGTCCTTTGTGCCCTCGACCTTCCGGCAGCCTCTCGCGCCCGACGCCGCCAGGGGGAGGGAGTCGAGGTGCCACCTCAAGGGCGCCATCTCTGCGGTCCAAGCGGTGAACAAGGCGCGCGCGCGCGCGCGCCGCCCCCCGACGCCCCAACCGCGAGCGCCGCCCCCACCGCCCTCTGAGCTGACACGCCCGCTCGCCCGCAGTTGCGCCGCGGGCTGGCCTCCTGCCCCGAGCACGAACCAGCCGAGCCGACGGACGCGGTCCCGCCCTTCATCTCTGGACCCGGGGCCTTGGGGGCCTTGGTGTAGGGCGCGGTGGCGTACAGCGGTACAGGAGGGGTTGCGCGGGGTGGGATCCGGGGCGAGCTGTGCTGTGGAAGCTACATCGTTGCCGCTGCTTAAGCGGGGGTTTAAAAGGAAGCGCATTGAGATCGGGCGCTGCGCCCCTAATAACGGCAGTATTGGACAATTTGGAGAAACCAACGGCGCGGAACCCAGCGACGCATGCCGGCGAGGCCGATTTTCTTAAATGGTCTTAAAAGAGGGACCCCCCGTGCCTGCAATCTCTTAAATGGCAAGTTAAGCCCCCAAACCTCCTCGTTTCTTAAAAGGTCTTAAAAAATTCGGCCCTCAGAACCCTAGCCCGTACTAGCCTAGGCCCTAGGGGTCCCCTAAGGCGCGCCGCGACACAGGACGTCCGACGCGTCTCTCGCTTTTTCAAAGACCTTGTTATTGAGAAGGAAATACGTCGTGTGGCGCTGTGCGCTGGTTCACATGGTGTCATGAGATCCTCCCCGTTTCATTCGTCCGCCACACACGGCCGCCCGCCTCCGACACGCGCCCGCGAGCCCCCCGCCGAGACGCTCCGCGCCGCGGTCCGGCCACGTACACGAGGTGACTTGGACCACGCTGTGGAGGCTGGTGAAATAAATTCTGCAAAGGGGTGTGAACGGAGAGAGCAAACTCCTGGCAGCTCCCACAGCCGAAATGTGCGCCAGCTGCCCGCTCACCTGTGTCACGCCGCCGCGCACGCACCTTGCTATGTGCTCGCGCGAGCTCCCGCCCGAACCTCCAGCTCGGCGTCCCACTGCTTGGGAGCCGATCGCTTTTCCTCGGCGCTCGCGTCGAGCCGAGCTCTCGGCACTCTACGGCGGGCGTCGCTGTGCGGGGCGCCCGTTTCCTGCTGGCCCGAGCGGAAAGCTCCACGCGCCCGCGCGAGCTCCCGGCCGAGCCTCCAGCTCGGCGTCGCACTGCTGAGGAGCAATTTGTCGTCCGTCGGTGCTCTCGAGGAGCCGAGCTCCTTGGCCTGCGGCCGGCGACGCTGCAGGACGGCGCGCGCGCACCCCCCCCTCCCTCACCCGCGCGCTCTTCCGCGGTCGGCGCACACGCACCCCTCGCCCCGGCGCTCTTCCGCGGCGCAGCCCCCCCCCCCCCCCCCCTTGATCTCGAGGCGAGAGAACGAGCGCGCCGTCCTCTGGGGACGCGCCGCCACGCTCTTCCTTAGGTCGTCCTCCGAGATATCGGTGCCGGACCGGCGGGGCGGGGGCGGGGCGGCGTCGGAGCAAGTGTCTCGGCCGTCGGTCGACGGAGCGGCGACCCGCGAGCACGCTTCGTCGGCGCCCGACGAGGGTGGTGCCGCTGTCGCTCTGCCGCGTGCGCAGGCGTGCGCAGGCGTGCCGAGGTCTCGCGACGGCACTCAGCCCGAGCCCCTCCGGGCGCTCGATCGTATGCTCGTGGAGGCGTCGCGCGGCCGCAGTCTTCGCAGCGGCGGCCGCCGCTGCGGTGGATGCGGGCCAGAAAGAAGGCCGCGCGCGCGGCCAGGGGCCAGGGCTGGCTCTGGCTCGGGCGAGGGCGATCCCGGTTGTCCCTCTGCGGGCGCCTCTGGTCATGCCCGCTTGCTCGACGGCTGGGTTGTGCGTGCGCGCGACTCTCGAGTCGTCGGCGAGTAGTGTGCGCGGGCGGTGGGTGCCGTGGAGATTAGGGGAGACGTCGCTTTGAGCTGCGGGTAGCGGGACCGGGAGATGTTGGGAGATACAGACACGGCGGTACGGTGTCTGGAGTAACATCTCAGAGGTTGAGCAGCGCAGGGGGTGTGCACCTGCCCCCCCATCTCCGGTCCAACGAGTAGAAACATGTTTCCAAAAAGCAGCTACGCCCCGACACGACGACGAGACTCACTCCCCTGGTCGCACACGCTCCCCGACACTCGCAGCAAGCAGCAAGGATCGGGCGGGAGAGGAATTAGCTCAGAGAGACACGCACTCATACACACTCACACACACACACACACACACACACACACACACACACACACACACACACACACACACACACACACACACACACACACACACACACACACACACACACACACAGAGAGAGAGAGAGAGAGAGAGAGAGAGCGAGCGAGCGAGCGAGAGAGCGAGCGAGCGAGAGAGAGAGCGAGAGTACAGTACAGTGATCAACAGAGACCCCCACCCACACGCCGCGCAGTGTGGGAAGCGACGACGAGACTCACTCCTCGCACTCGCAGCACGGATCCAACGGGAGGAACGAGGGGCCGCCCAGGCAGCCCCCGGGGCACGCGCAGCCGTTACGGTGCGCGTCCTGCCCGCCGCCCGGCATCGGCGCATCCTCCGCCGCCGCCGGGGCCGGCGGCTCGCCCGGGATTGGCGCGTCCGTCATCGGCGCGCCCGTCATCGGCGCGCCCGGTGGCGCGCCCGGCATCGGCGCATCGTCCGCCGCGGACCGCGGCGGCCCATGCGCCCCACAGTAGGGCACGGCCACGCCGGGCGTCGCCCGCAGGAACGCGGCAAAGGAGTCGTGGTCGAACGTGCCCTCCATGATGGCGAGCCGCGTCGCCGCGTGGGGCGGGCGGTTGATGGCGTCGACGACGACGACGCCCCACGCGTGCTTGACGGCGTCAGCCTGCTCGAGCCCGCGCAGCCACTCCGCCGCGTCCTTCGCGGTGCACTCGTTGTACGACGACGTGCGGGCGGCGAGCATGCGCCGCATCGCCAAGTAGTCGCAATCGCTGCAGCCGGCGCGCTGCACCACGGGCGGCAGCGTGTAGCGCGTCACGGCCGGGAGGTGCTGCGCCGGGAAGCAGAGGGCGTCGCTGCACGCCGGGCAAAGGGCCAGGTGGCGGAGCGCGAGCCCCGCGCGAGTGCGCCGCGAGTGCGCGAGAGCCGCCGCTAGGCGGCGGTAGCTCTCATAGAGAGCGCCTGCGGGCTGCTGCTCGCGCAGCGCCACCTCGAACGCGAACTTTGCGTCCGCGACGAGCTGCGGCGCGTGCGGCGCCTCGCCGTGCGCCTCTGCGTCCGCCTCGCGCAGCGTCAGCGCGACGCCGCGCCGCGCGCCGAGCAGCCGCGCGCGCGTCAGCCAATGCGACGGCCAGCACTGCGGCAGCAGCAGCTCCAGCCCATCGGCGCCGCGCCAGGGCTGCTGCTTGAGCTTTGGGTCGGCGCGCCATTGCGGCGGCTTGGGGAGGCACTGCCGGTACCACAGTAGCAAACGCGCGTCGAGCTGTTGCGTGGACAGCGAGTCCGGGTCGCACGAGAAGGCGTTCGGGTCAGCGTACGGGCCCTCCATCGCAGCGAGCTCGTAGTGCATTTCAGCGCCCATGCTCGGCGGCCTGTGATCGCCGCCGTACGTCTGCAGGAGCCGCCGCACCTCGCGGACGATGGTCCTGTTGAAGGCGATGGTGATGTTGTCCTTCTCGACCGCCTCCGTCGCCTCCCCCTCGCCCAGCGGCTTGTCCGCCGTTTGGTACGCGTCCTTCGTCTCGACGGTGCCTCCGTCGGCCGCGTCGAGAACGCCCAGCAAGGCATCAGTGGCGATGGATAGCGTGCGCGCTGACGCCTCGCGAGCCGCCTCCCCCTCCCCCTCCTCCTCGCCGTCCTCCAGCTGCTCGAACAGCCGTGCAGCCGTCTTTTCTGCCTGCGCTCGGCGCACCGCGATCAGCTCCTCCTCCGCCGCCGCGCCCTCCGAGGCCTCCGCCGCCGCCGCGGCGGCGGCGGCGGGCGACGGCGTCGCGGTGGCGGCGGCGGCAGCCGCAGCCTTGCTCTCCGCCCGCTTCGCCGCCTCCCGCAGCCTCTTGTGGCGCGTGGCGCGCGCGGTTTTGGCTTGCCCGGGTCGCTTGGGGTCAAACTCGATGGTCTCGATGCGCCAGTGGTGACGCGCGTAGGCCTCGCCGAGCGCGCGCACGACCCTTGCCCACAGCTTGCACTCCGCCTCGACGTCGCCCTGGAAGTGTGGCACCCTGTGCCACGGCCGCTCCGGGTTGTCCTTCTCGAGCTCCCGGTCGTAATCCTCGTGGCGCGCGGCAAGGACGGCGCGCCAGCGCTGCTCCGTCTGCGCAGGCCGGGGCCGCTCGACCATGAGCGCGTCCATCTCGACGTCCGCGTTCTCCTTCTCGCCGCCGCCGCCGCCGGCGAGCGGCTTGCGCCGGCGCCGGCGGCCGGACGCCGCCGCCGGCGCAGGTGCGGGCGGAGTCGCGCGCCCCGTCTCGTTGTCGGGCGACTCCTCGCCGCCGGCGGCGTCGGGTGCGGCGACGTCGGCCTGCGAGTCGCGAGGGCGGCCTGCACCGGCGGCGGTCCGCAACGTCTCGCGGCGCGCCGCCAGCCACGCCGTGAACTCATGGGCGATGTCGCTGTCGTCGGGCGGCTGGTACAAGCTCGGCTGGATGTGGTCCATGAAGGCCTCCATCTCGGCCGCGGTCACGTCGTCGGGCGCGTCGACGGGCTGCAAGGCCGTGGACCGCACGGCGGGGCGGCTGCGCCAGGACTGGCGCGTCGCTGACGACGAGCCGAAGCAAAAAGGGCTGCACGACGGCAAGCCCGGCTGCATTCTCGCGCCGGGACGGCGATCCTGGTCGAGCACGAGACGCCGCCTGCTTTTGCGGTCGTTTCTTTTCTTGATTCCGTTTGTTGCAAACGGAATCAGTTGCAAAACCCTGAATAAAAAAACAAAACGCGAAAATCCCCTTTGCAGCCAAGCCTACCGGGCACCTAATAAATAAATAAAACGGACATCCCAAGCTAGGGCTGGGTCGAGGACAGACACGTCCCCACCTTTGCAGGATTTTGCAAAAGCGAGGGGGGAGGGCGCATCGCCGCGTGGAGAGGGCTGGGCACAGGGCACAGGGGATCTCTCTCGCATAGGATACACACGCGGGGGCACGAGGGCAGGGCTGGGCGCCCTATTTGTGGGGCTGGTGAGCTTGCCTGCGGCGAGGGCGGGGCGAATATATGTATTTTCTTCTTTTGCCATCCGTCCGAGAAGACTTGACAGAGACATGCGTAACGGGAGGCTCGCTGGCTTTTTGCGGCTTTTTGGACGGCTTTTTTGGATTCTCCCGCCCTCCCACCCCTCTCTTGGTTTTTTTTTGCCATCCGTCCGAGAAGACTTGAGACATATGCCTGGAGCGGAATAGGGATGCTCAACCGCTCCACGCCACGCCGCTTGCGGCGGTCCTATTCTCAGCCGCCGCTGTGGCAAGCGTGTTGTTTTTTTCCACGCTGTCGGCTTGACTTTCAGTCCCAGAGACATGCGTGGAGAGCTAGCGGCCGTGCGGAAGGACGCAGAGGCGAGGGCGAGCGCAGCGGCCAGCGCGCGCGCACACGCAAAGGAGCTGACTGCTATGCGGCTCGGATCCGATGAGACTGCGTCCTCGCCAGACGACGTGCCAGACGACTCCTCGGACGCCTCGTCCGTCTTCAAGGTCGAGCACCACATGGCAGCCGAGGCCAGCCCAGCCGACCTGCGTCGCCGCGAGCAGGCTGCCACCACAACACACCCTTTCCCCCCAACCTCCGCTTTGAGAAACACCACCTGCGCCTGCGCAGGCGCTACGGAGAAGGGAGGCGACCGTTGCCGCGAGAGAGGCGGCGCTGCGACGACGAGAGGCTGCCAGCGCCAGCGGCGACAGCCAACGAGTCGCATCGTCGCACGCCGCAATCGTGCAGGCCCTCGAGTGCGTTAGGCGCAACCTCCGCACCGCTGACCCGCTGTAGACCCGAGCCCGTGCCGCTGCTGTGTTCGGCCGAGCCGCTGGCAATCTGGCACCCCGGCTGCGTGCGCGGCCGTCGCATAGTGTATACGCGCAGGATGGGGCGGCTCTTTGGCTGCCTGTCACAAATGTTTCCCCCGGCCTCGCTCCTTCGCGGTACGTGTACGTGTCATCCACACCACTGGTCACACACGTGCGTCGACGTGAGGAGCGGCTAGAGATGTAGAAATCTAGAAAAGGCCCCAGCACACAGACCGCACTATCGGGCGGCCAATCTCCTTACGCAAGACCACTTCAAGGTCTTGCCTCTTGGCTCTTGGCAAGACCCAAGACGCAAGAGGCAGATCGCGCGAGATGAATCATGAAAGCAACAGCAGAGGGTCGGCCCTGGATGTGAGGTTACCGACTGCACTCCAAGTGCTCCAAGCAGGTGTGTTCGCCGATGTGGCTCTTCACCTCTTGCCAGTGCCACGGACTTGCTGTGGTCTGTCCTTTCGAGAGGCTTTTGGGCCTAAACGCTAAACATTGGCCAAGGTGCAGAGAGAGAGAGAGAGAACAGACAAACCAAACGAGGGATGGGAGGAGGACAAGGTCCCCACCTGCACGAGCAGGATCTTGGAGAAGGACGATCAGGGACACAGGGGAACGGGAGCGGGGAGCGCATCGCGACAAGGAGGGGGGCTGAAACAGAAGAAACAGGGTCCACACACACGACAGGGTCCCACAGGGATTCCGGGATTCCTCTCTCGTGTAGGACAGGTTGCACTCGGCGGCACGGGGGCAGGCGCGGGCCTCCTACTGGTTGCGCTCTCCTAGTTCTCCTGCTCCTGACAAGGGACAGCGACCCAGCAAGGATTTGAGGAGGAGGAAGGTATTTTTTGTCGCGAGCCTCGAACACGTGTTGTGCAAGGCTCTCGACTTGAGACGTGCGCCCGCGGTGGCGCCTAGCCCCTGTTGACCCCCTGCCTGTGACGCAGCGCCGTCACGCGAGTAGCTAGAGATGTAGAAATCTAGAAAAGGCCCCAGCACACAGACCGCACTATCGGGCGGCCAATCTCCTTACGCAAGACCACTTCAAGGTCTTGCCTCTTGGCTCTTGGCAAGACCCAAGACGCAAGAGGCAGATCGCGCGAGATGAAAGCAACAGCAGAGGTCGGCCCTGGATGTGAGGTTACCGACTGCACTCCAAGTGCTCCAAGCAGGTGTGTTCGCCGATGTGGCTCTTCACCTCTTGCCAGTGCCACGGACTTGCTGTGGTCTGTCCTTTCGAGAGGCTTTTGGGCCTAAACGCTAAACATTGGCCAAGGTGCAGAGAGAGAGAGAGAGAACAGACAAACCAAACGAGGGATGGGAGGAGGACAAGGTCCCCACCTGCACGAGCAGGATCTTGGAGAAGGACGATCAGGGACACAGGGGAACGGGAGCGGGGAGCGCATCGCGACACGGAGGGGGGCTGGGTAGGGTTCACCCACACGACAGGGTCCCAGGGATTCCGGGATTCCTCTCTCGTATAGGACAGGTTGCACCCGGCGGCACGGGGGCAGGCGCGGGCCTCCTACTGGTTGCGCTCTCCTAGTTCTCCTGCTCCTGACAAGGGACAGCGACCCAGCAAGGATTTGAGGAGGAGGAAGGTATTTTTTGTCGCGAGCCTCGAACACGTGTTGTGCAAGGCTCTCGACTTGAGACGTGCGCCCGCGGTGGCGCCTAGCCCCTGTTGACCCCCTGCCTGTGACGCAGCGCCGTCACGCGAGTAGGCGCTCTTGGACACCATGCTGCGCATCCTCACGCTCTCGCTGCTGCTGGCTCTCGGCCTCGCCGAGGAGGGCGAGCAGAAGGTGAGCGCGCCAGCGGGCGCCACCCCGCGGCGCTGAGAGAATCCTCCCCTTGCGCGCCGGCGCGTGGCCCGCCAGCCGGCTAGACGCCCGCCGTCCCGCCCCCTTAGGTCGACACGGTCATCGGCATCGACCTTGGGACCACCTGTGAGTCTCCCCACACCGCCCGCGCCGCCCTCTGCGCGCGCGCTCTGTGCGGAGGCTGTCAAAGTCGGCCCGCGGGCACTGGACCACGGCCCTCCGCCCGCCAGTCAGCCAGTCCGCCCGCCCGCGCTTACGTGACGCGACGCGCCCGCGCCTCCTCCCTCCGCCGCCGGCCCTCTCACCCTGCTTGCGCCGCCCTTTGCAAAGACTCGTGCGTCGGCGTCTACAAGAATGGCAAGGTTGAGATCATCGCCAACGACCAGGGTAACCGCGTGACGCCGTCGTACGTCGCGTTCGCGGACGCCGAGCGGCTGA